CGACAACGTAGGCAGAGGAGTCGATTTCGGCATTACTAACAGAACCGGTCCAGAAATCAGAAGCTGGGCTGTAGCGCCCATAAATAAGAGGGGTAGTATCAGGTTGCAGTTGACTGTCAATGAAACATCCATATGACAGTTAAAGGACGCCCGCGCCAACACAGCGAACATTGGTGGCATGCACCGCATCACCCACAGCTCTATCCACACCCCCTATATAGTGTAAACACTAATGAATAAAACGCGGAGGCATGCGGATTGGAGACACGTTCCAACAACGGAACCGGTCCACGCTGCTTCACGGGCAAACACAAGCACGTTGTATTTGGGGAATCAAGCCTACACAAGTCGGAGACTGGGCCCCCATCCACTCCACACTGAATGAAACCACCGTTCCACGGCCACGAGGACCGTGTAACCCATCTCCTTCAGCAATGTCTAACTATCTCCTGAAGCTAGTATAGGCGATGTCTTAGGTAATAGACAGGTAGCCACCTTGTCAGCATACACATCAAGCACAAACACACCGGGGATGTCAAGCAATAGCCAAGCAATTGAAGGGAAAATATCAAATGAACGTGACGGATATGCCGAGATAACTGCGCTAAATTAGCATATGAAATAAATGCAGTACACTCCATGGATGCCTGTCACTGCTGTACCTGCCACTTCTTCTCCGCAGCCACACCAGAGCTTTCTCCTGCACCGCGGCAACGGCCTCTGTGATCAGCTCGCGCCATGCACGCCAATCAACTGCCTTCGATTTCCAACACCAGAAACCACCATTAGAACGTGATAGGCTCAGTTTGATCAGCTCCTGGTAACGAATATTCGGTTTCCGCACATGCAGCTTCCTCACACTCAGCTGCTTCGGCATACGGGTCGAAACCATGCGTCACACATGACCGAGCCACGAGAGGTGTCACAACTAAAGTATGCAATCCACTGCATATATTTTACTTCGGCGCAACCCTTCCGTGCCTGCAAATCTGTTGTGTCAACCAATGCATAGAACCGTTGCAGACATTGTTGATGAAGACGATCGAGATATTCCACATCCCACCGGTACATCGTCCAGGTTTTACTGCCGTATAAAAGAACCATGGATTTGTACGTCATCAGTTCGTGCCAATGGTAAGCTGCTGGTTGTTCCACACTAAGAAAACAAGCCTACTTAATGCTGCCATTGCCTTCGATTCTCGAAAACGAAACTCGGTGGATATTTTTGTAAGGTATTCATTCCGATAGTTCACAAACTACGTAGCACAGCCTTGTTAATTGTTTTGCAGTGAATTACAAAATCCAAAGTTAGCATACTCGGGAGGTGGTTTAATATCCTATATCACCAATGCTGAGTTGTGTCACCATTGCAGATTGCAATAACGAGGACGCATGGAAGTGACAGACAGTATTGATTGTGTTGATGGTGAGCCCGATTTTGGCAACTGCAGAAACGAGAACCGAAGTCATGTGCTCAAACTCATCTGCGCGGTGCACGAATAGCGCACACTCGTCAGAAAACAACAACATACGATAGTTGTCTAACAGGCTAGCGTAATCGCATCGAAACCAGCAGCAAACCATCATCAAAACAGTGCCTCACACGAACACCGTAAACACAAGTCGCGTCAAACACACAATACATTATGGAATGGAGATGAAAAGTAAACAGAAAAGGAGATAAGACACAACCTTGTGTCACGCCAGAGAGAACAGAAAAGTCATCCCAGTTGTATCCACTCAGCTGCACCCTCGTCCGCACACCACTGTGCAGACATTCAATTAAACTTGCAAACATACTCAAACAAACAAACTCACCCAGCGCCAGCAACAATGCCTCGCGGTTCATCGAATCAAATACCTTGGTGATGGAAACAAACAGCGAGTACAATGGCTTGTCTCGCTGTCGGTATTTCTCCTGCAACTGATGAACTGCGAACACCATATACATGGTGCTGCGATCCAAACGGAATCCACGTTCGGTTTAACGGCCTGAATGACGACATAGTTGAGTAGGATTCGGGCGGTTACTTTCCCCACAAAACTCAGCAAGTTGATACCACGATACTTCGTGGCACATTGCTTGCTTCCTGTACCCCTGTACATTGAGAACAAAAGCGCATTCTTCAACTCAGGAGGCTCATCCTCCTCAATCCACACGTGTTGCACCAACAGATGCAGCGCATTCATCAAATCGGGTCAGCGTGCTTCAATACTTCAGGTGGGATCCCTTCGGAACCAGCCGTTTCGCAACTGAACAAGTGCTGTCCGCTCCTCCTCCAGTGTCGGTGTGTCAGCGAGATAAGTCTGCATTTCTTGTTGTAAAAGTCCTTGCAACAAAGTCCAGGCAATATCTGAACGGTTGTCCAAGAGACAGGCCAAGTAATTGCGCCAGATCAGCATAACGTTTGCAGTCCTTGGGAAGGCAGCGCCTGAACTCCCATGAAGTTGAAAAGCGAAGGCAGTTGATTGGCGTGCATGGCGCGAGCTGATCACAGAGGCCGTTGCCGCGGTGCAGGAGAAAGCTCTGGTGTGGCTGCGGAGAAGAAGTGGCAGGTACAGCAGTGACAGGCATCCATGGAGTGTACTGCATTTATTTCATATGCTAATTTAGCGCAGTTATCTCGGCATATCCGTCACGTTCATTTGATATTTTCCCTTCAATTGCTTGGCTATTGCTTGACATCCCCGATGTGTTTGTGCTTGATGTGTATGCTGACAAGGTGGCTACCTGTCTATTACCTAAGACATCGCCTATACTAGCTTCAGGAGATAGTTAGACATTGCTGAAGGAGATGGCTTACACGGTCCTCGTGGCCGTGGAACGGTGGTTTCATTCAGTGTGGAGTGGATGGAGGCCCAGTCTCCGACTTGTGTAGGCTTGATTCCCCAAATACAACGTGCTTGTGTTTTCCCGTGAAGCAGCGTGGACCGGTTCCGTTGTTGGAACGTGTCTCCAATCCGCATGCCTCCGCGTTTTATTCATTAGTGTTCACACTATATAGGGGGTGTGGATAGAGCTGTGGGTGATGCGGTGCATGCCACCAATGTTCGCTGTGTTGGCGCGGGCGTCCTTTAACTGTCATATGAAGTTCTTAGTGACAGACACATCCTTAATTTAATGACGCTATCAATATATATATATGACATCTACTCTATGTCTTACTGCCACTGCTTTTATGTATTTGAAACTATTCTTACTCCTACAACTACTTATGTTATTAATCTTCTGTTATTATTCGCCCTGTTGGCTTTTGCACTCAACAGATTCCTGCTTGTTGAGTCACATAAATAAAGGATTGCTTTTTGTGAGATATCTAAAAATAAACATTTCTCTTGTAATTTAAATCGCGATTTAGACGTGTTATTGTGGATCAAAAGCTTTTATATTTAGGCCTAACTAGTTGTTGGGTGCTAATTCCTCCTTCGTAGTGGTCGTTTTTCGTGCAAGCATGGTAACTCTGAAAATACTGAAATATTGTTTACTGTCACTTCCGGATAATCAGTCACTGTGAATATGTTGAATATTCACACCTAAGGGAGGATAAAGCATAATTTGACGACTTTACTGGGATCAGATTCAGCATTGCCTTTTGGGACAATCTTTTTATCAATCCACTTGCGCTTCCACCTGAATAGCGTGTCTGTAAGTCCAGTACACCCAAGGTTAATATAATCCGCGTAACTCCGTGATTGTTACTCGTCCTGTTCACAAGTAGATGGACGATGGGTGAAGTACGCGTAGTTTTTAATGTCAGCAGTCATTTTAGCTCTGGTATACGGTACTACGCCTTGATCGCTATAACGGCTTGATTGCTACTGTTTGCTTGCTATGCTGTGTTGCTGTTGTGCTAACTACCATGAACTTAATCGTGGGCGCGCGATATTGCACTGTGATTGTGGACACTACGGGGCTTATTGCGTGAATAATGCTGTTATGAGCGAAGACATACTTTGATCGCACAAATCTAAAGCTGTGTTCTATGCAGTAACTAGAATGGAAATGAGTTGGTCTACATCAAAAGTATATGGAGAAAACGAGTGCTTCTCAGATAACAGTAGGAACAGCGACCAACTCATTCGAAACCACGTAGATATTGTCGTGTTTCTCTCTTATTATTTCTCAATCACTAACTCTGTATGAGGTTATATTTTGAAAAGGAATTTGATCTATTCAAGAACTGAGCCAGTAAATTTGTGTTTGCCGACCTTTTCTTTCGTCAGTCACATCACTGAATGAGGCACTCACCACTGCGATATTCAGTATGAGCTTAATAACACTGTGCTAAACTTTGCTTTGGTTCATCTTCAGTGGTTACGGAAAATGAAGTTCAAACGCAATGAGGCACGCCATTTACGCTAAAGCCAATCGCTGTCACCTAGTTCATTGAAATCTCCATTAAACCGTGAACTGTTCATTTTTGCGCATTTTGTTTGTCTTTTCGCGGTTTTTCATAAACTATTTTGTCGTACGGCCATTGTCAAACTGTTCTGCTGACCCCCACCAATCAGCTAAGCGAGCATTCCCCTTGAGTCAAGTGCAGAGGGAGCTATCTATACCATTTCCTCCAAGACTCGGCTAGTTGATAAAATGTTGTAGAGTTCTAACTCGCATTTATTGCCGTCCAATTTGTTTTTTGTACATTTCTTCTGGCCTTAATTTTAGATTCAGACGGCTGGCTTAACTGATACTGAGAGCTAAGTGGAATTCGGTCTGTTTTTGGAGTGGTCAGGAGCCATAGCACCACTTGTGCCGTTGTGGTCCCTAATCTTTGAAAGTATGATTGTGAAACAAAACAAAACCAACTATGCCCAATTTATAAATACAATACAAAACCAAATTTGACCTAGTTATAAATACGTTTCGACCATGTTGCAGTACTTTTATAAAAACGCATAGTACTACGTGAGTAAGGTAGAAACGTGTTCATCTGCAGCGTAACAGACAGTGTACACTTAGATCATATCTCCCATCTTATTTCCACTACCGCCGATTCTAGAACCAGTCCCCGAAGACAGTCAAGCACTATACAGAACTTGTTCTTCTCACAAATCACATTTCTTGTGGCTGTCGGCCAAGGTGAGTGATGCACAACCTATGCAGATAGTATTTTAGTCATAAGTACGAAACTTTATCCTTACTTTCCTTTGTATAGTTTGAATTAACAGGAATGTGAAAAACCCAACCCCTCTATCTCTCCTGTTAAATAGCACAAATTTGCATTGATTTTAGCTAAAAAATTGTAAGGACTCAATATACTTCATATACGTGTGGCTTTTCAAACAACACTTTGGAAAGGAAAATTTTTCTTATGAATATTCCATGGTTGCCAGCATTTTACATCGGGAATATGTCGTAATAGTCGGATGGATTAGCGTAAGCATAAGATATCATACAAAAGTATTACTTCCGCTCAAAGCAGCTTTCGAAATAATAAGTTATGACGAGGTAAATAAAGATATGCTTCCCTAAACATACTTTCCATTACTCAATTATCTCAACTTTGAAAATGGACCTTAATGTCGCGGTTTATTGCAGCTACAAAGGTGCTTATAAGCAGTCGCGAAGTCCGTGGATTTCATGTGAATACGAGTATGCTTGCCATTTCCTAGATTTTCTAGGACACAGTATGCGAAGAAACCCTTTGCTTGCCTTTTGGGGCCGCACAGTCTAAATCAGGTTTATGCGATGCTGCAGAATTAATAGTAGTATATCCCAGTCATTTGAGTACTACTTTTGAGAAAATAACTTAACGAGAGATGACTTCCGATAATACCACTTTTGGAGCCCGAGCAGTTACCCAACTGGTTCCAGTCCGTTTTCTTAGTGGCATAAATTTTGATTTGTGGTTGCATTTCATAAGTATAGTTATACATATATGTGGGGCTCAGATATCCGTCCTTATTTTGCCAGCCCAACACCTGAATATCAGCATCACCTGTTTTTTGTCCTGCACCCCTTACTGTGAATGAACTCGGGATGTGTCAAACCCATGATAAAGTCAGTTAACGTTTTCTTTGTAGTCTGGAGCGCAAGAGGAGCACAACTGGGTTGTTGCATTTGTCCACCCTATTCAATGGTACTATGCCACAGGCATACGCAGCTACACCCCGGAGATTCTCTGGAAACTGGAAATGTTAGAGGCCCAAACTCTGCCTGTCAATTACTAAGTCGCTGATCGCACTTTTCACTACCTTCAGTGTTTACTCATGTTGGCTGTAGCGATGCGTAGTGGTCGTTTAATAGCACCATCTAAGGAGCGACACAAAAATACATGGTTCCATAGAACCTTTATTCATGACCATTTGGTCCATTAAAACTTGGCTGCGCGGAATTCTGATAGCGTATCTGCTGAGTAATTAATGAAGCAGTTAACGGCCCTTAATTTTGTCACTTTTATGCAGCAAATTTGTCTGTAAATAAGTAGAGGTTTGAACAAATATTGCACACACACAAACACACAATAATAGAGGCCTCAGATATGTGAACCTTGTAGCGATTCACCTTCAAATAAGGTTAAGTCGTAGAACAAATAGCAAACCGCCAAACCCACCAGTCGACATAAGACAAAATTACCAACCCAGCCAAAAATATTCTAACAGGTTGAGTGGATCTGAAGTTTGAAAGAGCAAAGAAAATGGTCTACGAGATTATATGGACTAGGAAGTTGGGATATGTGATGTTCATTGTAGCCTGAGAATTTATGTTTTTGATTCAGCTGCCCCTTCCCCCAACCAAGAGCATGAAACCGAACGTGGAATAAATAAGCTCACGCTAATGCGTACGTTGGACGTACCTATGTCTAATTGACGCGCTACTATCTTGGTGAACATGTGTTTTACTATATTTGGTAGTAATGAGTATAAAGTCGCCATGGGAGCTTTGCGATAACCGGTATGTTTGATGTGGTTAATTGGTCGCATTGCCATCTGGAATATCCTGAACTGTCACTTACACAAACAGCCTTGACAGAATGATGCCAAATACCCATCCACACTGGTAACTGTGAATTTTGTTGTATTTGTGCAACTCTAGAGTACGCCTGGAGTACTGTGTGTAAGAAGGGAAATTAGCATTTTCAATAAAGACACTGCACTGTTTTTGCTATCTGGTTAAGTGTTGGCTCGGTCATGATGATTTAGTTCATGACATGCAGGCTTACAAATTTTTGTTATGGCAATTTGAGGCGTTCCAAACCACGGCTTTCAAACCAAATTAAGTTGATGAGCCAACAATCTTAACACAAATTATTTACAAACAGGTCAGGTTATCCTCCTGTATTTGGTAGTTAACTTTCCTATTCGCACCACATTCCGTTGCCTATGGCCATTTGCATCGAAGCCCGATTCGGAAATATAGATCACCTTGCAAAACGATAAACGCTAAATGTTTTACTTTTGTAAGCGGCATGTTAAAATTATTGAATGTTTTCATTTTGGTGTACACAATCTAGACCTCTACCGTAAAGTACATCATGGCTACTTTTGCTTCCTTAGATGTATTGCTTTTCGCTTGTCAGTATAGTTTTAAGATGTTTCCTCCGGTATTCTATAATGGATGGTTAACAAATAAAGTAATCACATGAGTGGCGAGACACAAACAACCGTCTCTCGCAAGCTGGATAATTGTGAGTTACTTTTCATATGTACACGTACCATGGTGAGCAGCTACCCATACCTTGTCAAAGTATGTATACACATTCAGGTGTATGTTGAGCAACTTTGTTTACTTACCTGGCTATTAGCACACGTGGGACACAGTTATCTGTCATCAAAATTAATCCACAGCAGCAAACAATGATGTGATAAAATCACTTATAAGTATGCAACACTAAACCCACCTCTTTGTCTCTAGTCAGATAAATGGGTTAGGTCTATCTACAACTCTAATCCTAATGTCATTTAGGTCATCTCTGCCTTAATAGTCCAAGTAAAGAAAAACAAGACACAGTGTTCTGTCACATTTTTTGTTGTCCTCTATCTACATTTATTGAAATTCCTGGCCACTCAGTTTCATATAACTTCCCAACACTATTTACCCAAGGTCTTTTGGTCCAGTTATTATTCAAGTTTATCGTTAATGAATCATCGCTACACAGTGCATATCAAAATATCGTTGTGACCATTGAGCCCAAAGCTTACCAGTCGAACCTGATATCAGTCTATGACAACATCCTCGTAACATGATAATCTACGTATACTAGAGTTTAATTGCGCAGCTATGTTTTCTAAGTAGAAAGTAGTAAATTTGGCAACATCGCTCTTGACCGTTGGTTATAGTTCCTTGCTCGGAGTGTAATTCCTTCTGAGAGGCACAGTGAACATAAATGATCCTAGGTGCAGATTAGCTCAAAATCAGGCTTCGTCTACTTATGTCCACTCCAACTAATATCCGGAGAGACGACAACCGAACACCAGCCATACGTGGGACGAGCTGCCCATGGTAGTGCCGCTTTCGCTTCATAAAGGAAATTTAACACACAGCAGCAATCACGGTTCACCGTAGTGCACTGACTTTGGTTGAAAATTGAACCGTACCTGCTTGAACATTTTAGCTACAACACCTAGGAGTTTACAGATGAACTTCCACTGCCTCATCCTCCAGTTGCCTTCTTTTTATGGAATTCGACTACGACTGGGGAGCATTGTTCCAGATTATACCGGTACACCAAGTGCTCTCTTAGTGACTTCTGGTGCGTCATGAGCTGTCGAATGCAACAGGGATGAAGCAAACATACGTAAACTTAAACGGAAGCTTAAAATTACTGAGGTTTTGGCAGCAAGCACCGTATCAGCACTAGCGTTATTAACATATTTTCTAAATTTTGGTGCATTCTAGAGGGTGGACGGATCCTCGATCACCACTATTTCAACCGGACTGAAGATAGCTTGTTCAAGCCAATCTAAATAGTTGTGCGTTTTGACGCACTATTTGTCGTTCGAATTTTATGTGGCATTTTAAGCGGCATTTCCAGTCTACCTTACCAGATTTGAGACAGGGGTATTGGAGAGGTTTGGGACATTAATCCTAATACGGTTTCTCTCTGAGAAACAACCATGGCACCCAACATCTTCTTAATCGCTTCCACCATTCTTTCGTATTTCTGAACTAATTTAAATGCCATTCGGAACAGTGGACTGGCAGTATATACTGTGCGACACCAGAAACATGCTGGTGTCCAGTTGCTTGCATCACCTCATTTATAACACTTAGCACCTCTAAGCTGGAAATACACACCGGCAAGAGCAATACGTTCCTTTACATACGCAGTGAATTTCCGATTCCATTTTACTGAAAATCTAGATGAGTTAGCACGCACTGAAACCAGGATTGCGCTTACAATATGCAACCTACAAATACATTGAACCAGATGGTGTTGTTACGAGACCATTCGATTTGTGCTTTCTATGGTTTACGCATGTCAGTGAAAGACTTTTGCCTATCCTAGTTTATCCTTATAATTTAGCAAGGTTTTCTAATATATGGAGTGCAATGCCCAAAGTTTGTCATTGCAACTAATGATATAATTTAAGTCCAGTCTAGGCCGCTGTACAATTATTAGGGTGCCGAGTTTTACACATACAGGCCGTCCCCGCAAAAATAATTCCTGTTATCATCAGTGAGAAATTACGAGCAACAAACAATGCACTTATGCGCGTTAAGAAACACTGCTTTACAAGTCCATTGGAGTTGTTTGTTGGGGTTATCGAAATAGCACTGACAGGTTGAAAAGAGTAACTTATCGTTTATTATTCTGTAGTCCGGCAATCTGCATAGTTCCACGGCACCCAAAGCTAAGATCAACTATATCCAAGGTATGTTCCAGAAGTAGGATGGCGATATCGGGCTAAGTTACAAAGTGTAAGTGAAGGAATGCGTTATCCAACCGCCTTTTAATTTCGTTACTGTTTGTGCAGACACGGCCGATTTAGAAAGAGCATTCTACAGCTTCCATGCATGAATGAAAAAATTGCCTCCGACGGCTACACTATTCTGCGAGTTTCTAGGAATAATCTTTCATCGTTGTATTACTGAGAGTTTCTGTAAGGGATGCACACCTGATGTGTGTCATGCCAAATCAATTAGGCCACGTAGTCTGTAATATCGTCCGCTGAAGAGCGCCAATATTTTCAGTTTCTGCTCGTATGGAAGATTGTACACTCCAATAACACATTTGGATGCCCGACGTTGAGTGTGCTCAATTGCTTTAAGGCTATGTTTCAGCCATGGTTGCCAGGCTTGAATTACGTAGTTGACATGGGAGCGATCGACGCACTTAGCATCTGTCGAAATATAGTGACGTCTGTTTGTCTAAATGTTCGTCGCAACAGCCCGAAGTGTTGGATACCAACTTTCTAGGCCTTTCTAATTGCCCGGCCTCCAAAGCTGCTAACCAAAGCGAGCTGCTGCGACGGGGATTCGGACAAATAGACGACTCTATTTTTCGACAGATGCTGAGTGTGCATGTTCGCTTCCATATCGAAAAAGCAACAGGAAGTTGCTCACCTTTATTCGCAATAATCTATTCCCAGGTATGTGAAGAAATAAACCACAGCGGCCAGAAGGAAACTAGCATGTTGCAGTGTAGTTTAGAGCAATTGTCAAGTTGAAACTTCGTAAAATTCGACCGATAAGACTGAATTTCACCAATTCACTCAAATTCATATTTCCAGTATGGAAACAATGTAACAAATATTAATCACAACTATATGTTTAGTTGGATATCAGCTAGAGAAACTTGACGAACCTCTCGGCAGAAGTGATCAAATGTGCTTGTGCTCGGCGAGTTTACAATGCAGCCTTCTTACGTCGGTTGCGCAAGCTCGATGAATTGTGAATAAATTTATGCACCTTATCAGGTAGTATCGTAATTTTTAGACCTGGTTAGCCTGCCTACGAATACTAGTCATTCGGATTCGCGAAATCTTATACTTTACTCGGAGTTTCGGAATATTCCTAGATCGTGCAGATCGTCCCTAGACCAACCTAACGCAGCCCGTTACGTATCGAGAGTAACATCACGCAGACCATAAATAGTTGTATTGTCTGTTCTTCCTCCATTAGAACGTATTATTTCCCCCAGTTCGTCTGTTCGAGCAAAAGGTTGAAGTTTCCAAGTTCGGTGCCGAAATTTACTGATCAAACAAACCAAATGAGAAGACAAGTTAAACTTGACACCCACGTTACCAAATACTGATAGTTCCATTTTTGGAACTCGGCAGCTGGCTTTCCTCGTTTATTAACAGGAGTGAACAGTAAACACTTCCTTAGACTAGTAATGCCACACAATTGCATAACATTCTGTGCTTTACGCTGTCCAATTCTCTGTTCGAGAGCCCTCCGCACTTGTTCGGATGTCACACACCGGTCTTCCTCACCGATCTTGTGAGCTGTTGAAGCTGACTGATCGAATTGTTCTGTTATCCCAATGCCAACCTCAGGTGTCCACCTAATTTTTAGGTGTCTAAATCGGATATGTGTCCCACCCTTGCGTTTTGTGATGCAAACCGCCTCCGACTGCACTTGTGTATGCGCCCCTGGGGATAATCGATGTCTGGAACTGCTAAAAGGAAAGCAAGCCTTTACAGAAACAGAGTGAGTTTGATGAATTCCCACTACGTTTAACACTATGGATAATATGCGACGTTCTTATGTTGGATCCTGTGTTGTATGGTCACCTTTTGACCCAAAGTTCATCAGTGCGTATGGGCGTATGCACGTAAGTGATATTACATGCCTATCCGATCACAATGATTGGTACACCGTCAAAACCATATGCACAAACTGAAGTGCCGTAAATTATAGTCACATTCAGTTTACCATCTTTTTAGTTTGTTCATTCAAATCTTTAAACTTGAGTTGAAAAGTAGTTGGTGACTTGTTTAAGAACTTTCAAACAAACAACCTGTCTGTTCCCATCGGTCTAGTCGTCAATACTGGCCTTATTATTGAATTCAGATCACCTTCGGCAATCCGACCTTGTACTCCGCATCCGTTATCTGGCTGCTTTGTTGTGTGTTATTTGGTACTACTGCCTACAGTTGTATAAAGCCCCAAAACAGTCAGCCAATAACATGGCAAAAATGACGAATGAACTCACATAAGCACTAAATAGGCTTGACGTTACCGCCTTCTTGAATGCGAATGTCCGAATCAGCCAGAATCTTATTTATCTACTCTACAGGATATGGAGCACTCGCGAAGTTAGTGATACAATTACATTCGTTCCATTATTTCTTGCCCGTTCGTAGTTTGTTGGCTTTTCACTCATCTTAAGACATTTTTACTGCTGCTGTGATTTTGATGCGTCATAGCAACTCGATACATCAACCTCAGTAAGGAGACTGGAACTTAACTTGGTGCGACGATTTGAGCACTTATTCGACCCATTCGGTGGTACTGGGTGGTATTCCTGATCCCTCGATATTTACTCCTACAACGTTCCTCAGAGTTTAGAGATCAGACAAACTCAGTCTCCCAGTCCTCCGGGCTGAAAGTTGGAAATAGATGGCGACTAGTTCTTTAAAATCGAATCGTTGCAGCCTCACCGTTCCCCTCGGATGAGATTTTGAACCAAACAGATACCATTGCCACAATTTACAGTTGGGATGATTCTGTACTGGATTGTCGCTCGTTCTGGAGTACTCGCCTGAACACTGATCATGCAATGGTAAGCTGCCGATTTTAAATGAACCTTACCTGGAGGCATACCAAGCGTCTCCCTCGATGGGAAACAAAGAACTTCCCACAGTGCTCGGCCAGGCAGACCTGCAAGGGTGCCCTACGTAACGAACTTCCGTTGTCTTGTCCTAATGGCACTGAGCTTCAGTGGAACAGGATTTCGGCCGCCACGCATGACGCGAGAGCATCTGCTTGTGGTACTATCTGTCGTCACCGCGCCATTAACTTGATATCCGAGAGGTTGGTGAACCTGTTGGAATCCGGAAGCAAACTCACAGCTGGATCTGAGCACAGTGTAACTAGGTGGAATCTTATGTGTGAAATTAAGCGGAGCCTGCGTGCTGACAAGTATGCCTGTTGGACCAGCAGGGCTGAAGAAAGGAACCAGGCGGTAACAGTAGACAATTATTGTAAGTTCTTCCAGCTGATCGCACCACCGCTCCCACGAAATCAAGCGTAACTGAGACACTCATAGACAGTGCGGGTTCAATTGTTCAGAATAAGGGATATCCTATGGCTCGTATGGCGGTGCACTTTTGAGAGCAGTTGACTTGGCCCCTTGCTCCTGGACTTCTTTTTACTTAAGCGACGCAAGATGAGGCATGGACGATTAGTTTATTGGCTCCATCGGAGGCTGAAGTCCGGAAGGCGTTCCCGACCCTCAACCGTTTTCGCGCACTTAGCTTAGGTACCCTCGCATGCTTATTATTCAGGGATGGTGGTGAACTCCTCTGCAAAACACCGACTACCCTGCTCGAACAGGTCTAGATACAAGGGGCAATCCTGGCCAACTGGAGTTAGCCGATTGTAGTATCAATGTATAAGAAGAGCAGCACTGTGCACAGAAATATAAGGCTAAGGCCGGTGATGACAAAATCAGTGGTCTCAATTCTCATTCGTCGCCTCATTGGGGAACCAGATTCCCGAATTAGGGAAAAGGCAAGCAGGCTTCTACCCATGACGTTGCTGTATAGACCATATATTTACTGCGGCAGTGCTAGACCGGCGTTCCATGTACCGCAGACCGACAATAGCGGTGTTCCTCTTCTTCAAGTGCGCGTTTGCTTCAGTCTATCGATCCACTCTTTTTGAGGTATTTGTACAGAAAGGTGTTATCATGAATTTTGTGAATATTTTACGTGCCATGTACTCGAACTGCGCAGGCTGCGTCAGGGCCTACGGTGACTTGTCGGATGTATTTCCGACAACAAGTAGCGTAAGCCAGAGCTGTTCATTCCCCCCATTTGGGTTCAACTACTTCGTGGACTGCATCTTCGGTTGTTCCCTAGCGGAATCTCGCACTGCAAGGGTTAAGGTTCTGTCCGGTGGGAAACTTGTTGATCATGATTAATCGGATGACATTTTCTTGCTGTTTAATAATGTTCGGGAGACCAAGTCAACCCGGAATAACGTATCTAGAGTGGTCCCATCATTTGGCATGCGCTTTGCACGCTCAAAGTGCAATGTGTTTTTACAAGACCACCAGCCAATTGACTCCTATCCGTTGCTAGCGAAGAGTTCGAGGTAGATGACAAGTAAAATTGGCAGCTGCATCAGCTATGATGGGCGCATAGGCACTGAAGTTAGTCCACATATTGCGAGAGTTACAACCTCGTTCGCGAATCGGCTACATCTGTGAAGTCAGAGAATGTTTTCCATCAGTTTGAAAGGCAGTGTTTACAAGGCCAGACTGAGGGCTGTCCTACTGTGGGATGGTGAGACCTGGCACCTTGGATCTGAGTATCTACAGAGCCCTCAAGACTTTAACCACGGTTATCTGCGATGCATTAGTGGTGTCAGTTAGCCCCAGCTTATTCGCATTGATATGCCTAGGCGAGTGCTAGACATATCATAATCAGGCTGGCTCCTTAGAACAACAGGTATCACTAAATAACCTGTGTTGGAGTGGGCACCCACTACGTATGCTCGGTCACACCCCACCGAGAAGGACCTTGAATTTTAGCCAGATGTGCGTTAGCCCAATGCTCGACGTGGGCAAAAGTTAACTTGGAAATGGGAGATGAAGTCATTGACTGCAATACTGGGAGATGTTAGTCCATCTCGCCTTCCAGGCTGTAGTTCTCGTAAACTGCTTGAGACGTTCCTGGACATGGATCGCAATCGGTATTAGTGGCGTTTCTGCCGTCATCTCCTAGTCAGATTGCTCGTTTAACGTAGGATTGGTGTAGAGTTAGCTGCGAGGTAATGGCTGATTGGAACGCTGGGCAGTGAAAGCCGTAGAGAAGCTGTCTCGTCGGACCCCCCTTATATTTACACCATAGTCAGCTATTTGTAACCGTTTGTTATTGATAATGTTACGCACTCTGACCCTGTATGCTGGTTCAGCCAGGTCCCCTTCTTATTATTTTTCCTTCGCTCGGCTATTGTGGTTCTAGGAGAGTGAATCATCGCTTCAGATGTCTTATGTACTGCTGCTATTGTTGCTGCTGTTATTGATGATGATACTGATGGTATAGCAGGGGTCTTAGCTTCTGACCAGTATCTAATTGTATTGAGGGTTTATTGCACTATTAGATCAGAGACTTCCTTATTAGACTGAAATTAGTAATACAAGTGCATGCCCATCTAACGGACTGGTATCCCTCTACCAGCAAACCTACAGGAATCAGTGACGTGACTCCGCGCACGTGCCTGAACTGCCTACGATGAAGCGACACGGACGTAGGTCTAATAGCTCTTTATTTTCAGTACCAGTAATCCATATGTACTAATGACTGTATGTGACGAGGTCTTCACTTGATGGACCATGAACTTTCACATTAAACTTGCTTGCCACCTGCCACATTAACTCGCTGCTCGATTGTACTCTATGAGGATGCTTGCTTGGAGCTTGAACATAAATGGCAACTTCTTAAGTGACGGCATGAAAACTGCATTATACAGTTGTGACCAAAATTTTAAAACCAACACGCAGAATTTATATTTCCATATTATTAAAGATTATTGCATCACTGGATATTTTAGGGCGCACTAAATAAAATCATTGTAACTGGTGACATGAAATTGCAAAACACTAATTGCTGTCCCAGAATGGTGCCGCCTACGTCTTTGAAAGAATCTAACATTCGCAAGAAAATGAACAATATGCCAACATGTCCGGCCGTTCAAAGAGTTAAGCTAGTATCATTATAATTTTTAAATCAAGTTAGACCTCACACCTTACAGTGATTGTAACCACTGTGCCTTAAAATAGAAAACGACTCAATAACCTTTGATAATATGGACATAGAAATTCGGTACGTGCTGTTCTTAAATATTTGACTACAATGTATGTAACAAGCAGCTGTGATAGGCTTTTATATCTTGATCCTTATCGGTGCTTTTCGGATCTTTAAAATTAGTTTGACTTACAGTGGTCTACCTTAGTATAGAAGACTGAAATATGGTGGTTGTAGTGTGTGGTGGATGGTAGTATCAGAACAGAATGAGCAGATGAACCAACAAAGCGAGCCAAACAGCCAATGGGAGGCGGACGTGACGGATTCGATTACTGGACTCGGATTGGACGAGATCCGTACGAGTGAATCACCTTTTGTTTAACTGAGGCAAAGGAGGAATCTCGTCGACTCAGTAGGGTCCTTAGTTATGGACTAGAACCAACAATTTATATTGAGGAGTTTGGCTTGCTAAACATGCGGTGATGTTCGCTTAGTTGTCTTTGTCGGATAAACGCTTGTTTCTGAGGGACTGAGTTCTGCAACATGGTATCAGAGAAGACAAAGACGAACCCCACCGGCGGCGCGCCAATACTATTTGGATCACCACCGTCTATTCAGATGCCTGCCCAACTGAACATGGTCGAACGGAAGTTAGCGAGTAATTGAGGTTTATGGAAGTGCAAGTGGGTGGATTTCTGCACCTTAGTACGTTTAGACGAACAACCGGTGGCCGAT